AATCATATGTAGATCTCTTCATCTTCCCAATCCCACAAATACATGGTTTTAAAGATTTTATTAAGTTTAAAAATACCATTTTCCTCTTTCAAGGCCAACACAAAGTTTTCCATGCTTGAAGACTAATGACAATGATCAGAAAAATCAAAGGCCTTTGAAATTTTTAATCTCTAACAGTGGCAGCACCTGCAGCGATGTGAACATGATAGAATGCATGAATGAAAGCACCATTAAGCCATGAGAATTGGCCACAAGCTGTTTGCCATGACATGTGAAGGAAGCCAATAAATTCTCCATTTACTTATACTGTCTTCCCTACTGTTGGTGTCTGCTAAATGGCTGCAGCAGCATTCAGGAGCTCCAACACCGCACTCCACAAGGCAGCAGTCCCTGATCTGATAAAGGTTCTGTAAGATCTGTTCATAACAGCGGGGCCAGCAGTGCAGACAGGATTACAGCAGAGAGTACAGCTGCTTCCAGACATGGCTTGTTAGAAAATCAGTACAGGCAGGGTCAGAGAAGGACTATTTCATGTATCCAAAGCAAACAAGAAAAAGGAGTGAACCAGCACATTTCAGAGAAGCCAGCCCCCAAAACCAGCAAACGTGAAGTTTTGAGAAGGGTCCAAAGAAGAAATGCCCATACGGCTCTGCAGATTAACAGGGGGAAAACAAAGCATCAGTATAGCTGAAGAAAACGGCTCCCAGAGATCTGCAGCACACTAACAGATAGGCTTTGCAGGCACCACTGCAATTCCCTCCAATGCAGGAAGCCTGATTTCTGTTTCAGCTGTGCCCCTCCCAGGCTTCTCAGCTCAAATTAATGCTCCTTATCTTTAGGTCTGTCTGTTTACTGAAGTCTGCCGAGTGGTGTGACCCAGATTGTGCTTAAATACAGCCAAGCTCAGCACAGTAGCAGCCACTCACGCTCTCTGGACATGGTGCTTAGCATCTCAAAGAGCCTGTTGTCAAAGTTCAGCTGCCTCAAATGTTCAGACTATATGGACAGTTAATATCTGGCCTAGACTGCCTAGATCAACTGGTAAAATGTCACTTCTCCCTTCTTTTTACTCTTCTGTCATCTTAGTCCCTGTATGCATGAATGGAAATGAATCACAAACTAGGAGTGTTTTCAAGTGAGCAAAGAGGGCACACTGACTCTCACAGCTGGCTGCTACACCTGCCTCTAAATTACATATAAAGCACTTTCACGCTGCACAGAGCGTAAGTATTCAACTACTTATCAATTCAAGCCAGGAATTAATATGAAATACATCTTGCTCATCATGGGATTCTCTGGGAAGGAGTGTCATGCTTCACAGCCCAGGTCCTGCATGCCACTCCAAACCTGAACACAACCACAATGAAGCAATTCCTGCTTATTGGGACATCTCTGGCTCATAGAGATCCATTTGGCTACATGTGCTTTTTAAAAACTAACATTGCTGAAATAGGGCACATAAACAAAGGAGGTCAGAATCACCTGCAAGTACTTTACCAATACAAGACCATTACTACCATTCACTTCAATCAGCAAAACCTCATAATTAGCACTAATTTAGCCAGGAAAGTAGGCAAACTCCCCCGCCATGATATATCTGCAAGAGGCATCACAAGATTTACAATTAAGATGTGCAGTCATGACCACACCAAGTTAAGATCACAGGAGCAGGACATGGTGCTACCCATGGGCGCTCCTGAACTGAGTGGCCACAGAGGAGGCAGATGCCTGAGCCATGGAATCACATCCCTAATCAGAACACACCTAGAGGTCACCTTTGCCATAAAGAGGTGTTCAAGGCTTTGGTCATTCACTTGAAAAAGACTTTTTTCCATATGGGGCCACCTTAGTGCAAAGCAGTTACACTTCCTTAGTTTAAAGAGCACATCCCCTATGCTGCTTCAGGTTTTCCTCACACAACACCAAGTCCTCCAATTTAAAAAGGGCAAAAGCCAGTCAGCATTGGAGGCTGTTGAATGTGAAAGGACTGAACTACAAGGAACCCAAGAGAAAAGCAACAGCTCGACCTCCAAAGCCTTGTCAGCATGCATACTTGCAGATCAGCAACCCATTTTCTTTTGGAGGAAGGTGTTCTAGAACGAAGTGTTAGCCCACTCCTAACCATGGCCCTGAGGCCAGAGCTCAGTACAAGGCAGAGCAGAAGTCTGTACTGACCACACCCATATCTCCGCTTGGGGAGTCCTCCTGGTGAGCTGTCACTGCCACCCCATGGGGCTGCCAAACATCAAGTCCTTGAAAGGAGGCTGGAATGGTCTTGGTTGCAGCAGAATGATTTCTATACATTTAGCCCATTTCAAAAGACTGCAGTCAGTAACTGGGTCTCCTCTACCCTCCACATGTAAGACTTTCAATTTCTTTATAAAGGGCCTGTTGGTTACTATTAGAACACACACAGATCTTACCTGGCACAAACTTCTCTCCAGAAGAGACAAATGTTCACTAGTGAAAGAAAAGGAAAAGGAGGAATTACAAACAGCCATGGGAAGTGTAGGGTGAGAGAAATGAGTGAAAAAAACACTGCTTTCTGAAGATTACTGAAGAACCGTGAAGTCCTGCAGTGAAACACTGAGAACTCTCCAAAGGCATGAGAATGTAAGGTGAACTGAGATTTTTACTTACTTCCACTGCTGAGAACAGCCCCCTCCTCATTGCAATGTTAATTTCCAACAAAATATGGAAACAACAAATACCTTGTTAGACCAAATTATTAAATTACCTTACTATCAGACAAGCCCAAAAAAGCAAAAGCAGTTTCTTTGGACAGCTGACCTGCTGTGAGTGGCCCCTGCAGCCACACATCACAAGGGGTTAATGGGAGGCTATGAACTGTTGTGACCTCTCTTTCCCATTTGCTCAGAGGCTGTTGCTCTTTAACCTGAGGAACCTTTTTTCCTAACATAACCCCAAGACTATGTGAATCCCTCTCACGTTCATATAAATGTATATATTAAGAAATCTACTTGAAAGCACTCATGTTGAAATTAGTCTGCAATGCCTTTGTTTAAAGTTGCTGCTATTCCACAAATGCTGTCTGCAGTAGTAGTAGAATTGCTCAACTACAGCTCCTGAAATGTGAAATAAAAAGCAACAACAGAACAAAGCCTCTAACTCAATAAACAAGGCAATAAATGTCTGCATGCTTTTTTTCTGCATAAAAAAGACTGGATTGTTTTTTACATAGTTGTCAATTAATTTTTCCAATGTAGGAAGACTCCTCTAATAAATTAAAATATTCATTACAGCAGATGCTCTCAGCAAGCTTCTTTGGATGAATAAATGAAATAAACCTGAAAAAACAGTTTGGCTGAACATCAGCATCACTATTAAAATCACCAAACCATTTTCTTTTTTTCCTCAAGTGCCTCCTTCCCCCGTGGCATGAAGTATCCAGGAAAATTTATCTCATTACTGAATGTTGTGAACTAGTCACATGCATGGGATTTAAGCCATCCAGCCATGGCAATGTTGCTGGTCCACTAGAGAAGACAAATCATGAGCTGAGCTGATGCCAAGACCCCCAAGACTGCTGAAATAATCTTGTGCTTTACAGACCAAATTCAGTACCTGACATGTTTAAAAATATGAAATTATTTTAATAAGTTTTTTTACGTTTCAAACAAATCAGCAAACATTGTTAAAATTCACTTCATCTCAAAATCACAGAATCAAATATTCTGTGAAAATACAGCTTACAGTTGGACATTAATTCAAGAGATAAAAGAGTATCTGGAATGATTCCACTGATTTCTGCAGCTTATACATAAAATCATGTCAACCTACTCAAGCAGTAAACAGAAAACAATTACTATTTAACCCTTCTCTCAAAATATCTTTTTGAGGTTATTTAGCAAAAATAAACAACTCTGTACGTACAATTACAACAGCTCTTATGCAACCTATAGTATAATCTGTAACAAATAAAAGTTTCTCATTTGACTGTGAGCCTGGTTCCAGACCTGTAAATAAAGACCAGTGATAAAGTCTCTGGCTACCACCATGCCCAGGGGAGATCTGCTGAACTAGACTCAATTTTGTCACAGAAACTTGCACAACAGTAATTCAGACACAAAAAGAAAAAAAATAGATTAGCGTGGTACTTCAGAACAAGAGGATACTACAGTTGCTACACTGAAAAGCAGGTATTATAAAAATTTGTACAAAATATAGGCTGACAGATAAATGGTATTTTAGGAGAAAGCATTTAGAGATTTGTATTTTACCTTGTGAAAATTCATCAAGTGGATGGCTACAAAAGGAAAAACAACAGTAAAGTTCAACAATACTCTACAAGAGAACAACTAGCTGCTTTCAGGGAAAAAAAACAACCAACCAAAAACATAAAACAACATTCTGAAGCAGTTATGGCTGTCCAAATCTGTGACTCAAAAAGGAAATCATATGAAGCAATTGACTAATACTTCTCCCTTCTGCATCAATTTAAAATGGAAGTTTTCACAGTTCCATTGATGCCATTTAACAGTCAGAAGAGCAAAGTGGGGCTTGGAGGAGTTTGATTAGTCAGTGTTCTTAACGAAGTTTATGAATTGTTTGTGTCCTGAATGTAGGAGGTAAAAAGGGTGAATTGCAATATAGGGATAGCAATTTCTTTTTCTTAACTTAGAGCCATCAAAATACATTATTCCACTTTTCAGAACAAGCCATTCTAATGCAAAGTTAATCATGTTAATGGTGCACTTTGTAACATGGAGACAAAGCAAATTAATACTTTGGCCTCTTTTGAATATGATCTTATCTGAGGCCTGGGGAGAAAGCAGAAGTTCCTAGTAATTAGCTGTGGCCTTTAACAATAAAATTATATTAATCTTCCAATGTTAGATTTTGTAATAAAGACATAGCTTCATGGTGGCAGAAGCACAAGAAGTTACCAAAAATAGCTGAACACGTCTTTAGTCATGAATGAGAAGCTTCTTGTTTGTTTTATGTAATAATCACAGAGCATGAAATTTTGACCAGGGATGTTTTGAACTTACTTTTACTTCACTCATTTTTAAGACCAAATGGCAGACGGTGTCTAAAAACAACATTAAACGAAGGGCAGCTATGCAGGAATAGGAGATGGGATCCTTAAAGTGAAAATCTGCAGAACCTTCTCTTTTGAAACACAGGTTAGGAAAAATACCATCATAATACATTAATGAAATTTTTATTCAATACCAGCTCTTCCATTAGAAGCAGCAAAACATATCCCTTTAAAGAAGAACCCCCAACAACAGTATTCCTCTACTGCTTTAGAGCTGATGAATGCACACCCATTTCTCCTGAACTTTGTAAAAAACCAAAAAAATTGGTAGGAACCCTTAGCAGAGTGCCTTATCAGGAAGGGCCAGCCCAACCACTGCTCTTTCAGTTCTTCCAGGAATGGCTTATTTGTGTGCAATGAATAAGCAGATGCTAGGTATCATTGGAATACATCAGTGAACAAATACTGCTCACAGGCTGAGGTGGAACAGCAGCACACAGACCCAATCCCTCTTAGCAGGTGTTCAAATGACACGTTCTTAAAAGCTTAGCACTTTGTCTGGATTCCAGATATCAACCTCACTGCTAGCAAAGCTGGAAACAACAGAAGTCATCAGTACAAAAAGAAATTGCTGTAACAGGCTTCAAAGAACAAACAGCTTCCACGCTCCTCTTTATTTCAACTGAGATGATTAGTTAAGGTGCTTTAGGATTCTGCATGGCAGACAAGCTGGCAGAGGTGGCCATTTAATAAGCTCTGGAGTCTTTAGCGGGTATCTGAGGGCAGCTCCCGAGGCAGAACCCTGAACTGCTAGTTTCTGTAGCGGGGCATCTGTGGAGCAGGGGCTCCCTCTAAGGGGACTGAGGAGGAGACTGTCATCAGCTGTCCACCGTGAATTCTCTCATTCACCCGCAGGTCACAGCCATCCTGCAGCATCCTTATAGCTATCCTTGCAATGTTTTTAGAGTCATCAAGTCCACTGTGAGGTCTCCCATCATAATTCATGCCCAGATTTTCAAGCATGATTGCCAACTTGGTCTGGTTCCTAGGAACCTGATGGGAGAAAGCAAGTAACATTCAAGGATTAGGTTCAGTACCAAGTCTTTTTAATCTAACACGGGCAATAGAAACACATGCAGATTTTAAGCCAACTTAAGTCACTTATTACTTTCATGTTGCCTTCTGTCAGATCACTAACCACTGAACTTCAAAGCACCTTGGTGAGACAGACACTCTCATTTTTACAGAGGAGACAGTCAACAGGAGTTTGTCTAGACCTGGGATCATGTCAAGAGCCTCTTACCAGCACCAGCTTGAGATACGCTTGTGCTGGCAAGAGTGGAAGCCGTGGGCTAGGTAAGTTTAACAACCTTTATAAAAAACAATTTACCATCCCCAGTGGCATTGCAGAGGGAATCCAAGTTTGGTTTTTCCTTTTAAATTCTAAGTGATTAAAGAAGAATCAGGCTCCTCATTCTCACTGACATCAAACTCCCAAATGCCTTCAACCTTCACAGGACCTGATCAGAAACACCTACAGCAACCCTGTAATATTTGCCCAACACAAAGTAAAGATCTTCCTGTATTAAATGTCAATCTCTCTTTTATCTAGAGGTTACATTTAGTATGAAAAAGCCCTTCAAAAGAAGACCATTAGCTAGGCTGAAATCCCTTTCAAAAAAAGTATTTTAGTGTAGACTGATTGGGAATTTGTTAGAATCTCCAATAACTCATTTTAGGGTAGTCTGACAGAAAGCAACTATAAGGTTCAGCACTGAACTCGGTATTACCTTTCTCTTGACAATTTGATTCCACTGTAGATACATCCTAATCTTTCTCTGTCCCCATTACACTGTCAAAAGTCAAGATTATATGAGGGTAGTGGTGAAAATTAATTTTTGTAGTGTATTGCATGAAAACAGGAAAAAAATATTGAAAAATCAAGACAGTCTTTTCAGCTGAACTACTTCAAGATACACTTGATCTAAGAAGACTAGTATAACATTTTTAGATAATCCTTCAAGGAACACAACCTGACTTTTAAAAACAAGATTAAAATCAAAATGCAGTAGATTATATGATCTTCAATTAATGAAGTGAGATCTGCACATGAAATACACTTGAAAACCAGGCACCAGGCAACTAGTTGTACTGTAATTTTACACTACACAAGTGGAGATGACAAGCATAACAGGACATTCTAGACTTTTAAACCAAATTTTCCCATAAAGAAACAGCAATCTGTACAAACCTTGTAGAAATTCCCATATGATTTGCGAATATTGATCCACTTTTTGGCAAAAGAAGGGTATTTGATACGGCTAATACGGCACTGGATGTTCAAAAATTTACTCATATCCCAAGATCTTAGAAAGTCAAAAGAGGAAAACATTAGTCATATATAATCCTGTGTTCTACATATTGCACAGCTGTGGAACTAAAAGCTGTCTTGTCTCTGGTGATCAGCAGAAGGAAAACAATTTAGGAAAAGCTTGTTTGCTATAGTCACGGTAAAGAATTTGTTTATATGAATTTCTTAATATTGGGGAAAAAAAATACTGTCAGGAGCAAGACTTTCACCAGGATGGTTTCAGGTCCACAATGGTTAAGACAAAAAATAGCACACCAACTACTCTACCTACCACATCAACATTGAAAACTGCCAATAAACTAGATGCTTACATGATCCTTGGGGAAGAAAGCAACACCTTAAATCTTCCTGTTTATTTGGGTATGCATTTATCTCTCTACTTCAGGCAGGTTATTGAAACTAGACTGCACCTAGTTTTATGAGAAACCAGATCTCTATGAAAATATGAAGAAATTATAATCTTATTTATTTAGCAGCCTGCCTTCCTGAAGGGAACCACCCCAATAGGTTTGTAAGCTGCAAGCTAAAGTAAAGCTTTTTTCCCCCATCTCTTCTAGCTATCTATGCAGTCTCATCTATACAACAGAGATTTCAATGCCCCTATTTTCCTTAAGGAATTCACTGAGGGGATTCCTCTCAAGGGGAATTCCAGAGACATTTAAGCCCAGTAATATAACCAGTCTTGCATCAGCTTTCCTTCAGCATTTTCTTTTTCTTAAATTCACTGTTGCTTCCAAAGATAGCAATGTAATTACAGGCTAAAAATTAAAAATTGCAGAGTGTTATTTTCAGGTATTGTGTGCTAGATATAAATGAAGGATTACAGCAACAACGAAGTCTTCAGCATCACTTTGTTGCATACAGACCACTAGGAAAGAAACGGCGCCATCTGATGGATTTAAGCTTCATTTTGAATAGTTCAGTTCAGCTTTACCAATTTTACAAAAAGCTTCAATTAAAATAAAACCAGCAAAATGGCAATGTCCTGATCCATCTTAGCAATGCTCTCACAAATATTAAACATGGTTTTGCAGTTTTAGATTGTGCTGAAGGCTGCATAAGGACATACCCGTCGGTCAACATGCAATAGCTGTACTTTGTTCCCAGCTCTCGTTGTCTCATCCACTCTATGACATTCTGCAGAACTTGAGGAAAAATATCAGCTTTATCAACAATGTCCTTAGAGGAAAAACAAAACAAAACAAAACAAAACAAAAACCAACAAAGTAAGGAAAACTTTTTCAGAAAAAAAACCCTCAGCATTAAATGTATAAATTGTATTGGTATATGAGCAATTAAAAAGTTTGCTTCATCAAAATCTGCTTTACAAAAGCAGATTACATGTTAACAGATGACTGGACAGGTTCTTCAATACTGAAAAAATAGCACCACAAAAGCACCACTACAAGAGCCAACCTCCTAATAGCTTCTGTAAAGGTAACAAGGTTAGACAGCATTTGAACTTGGATTAAAACCTTTGAGGTTGTTTCCCAGGCTCCATCTTAAGTCACTTATCACAAGCCATTGCCATCCTAAGACTCTAAACTCTTCAGAATAAAGATCTTAGGAGAGGAACTGATGCAATTCAAAAGGTGCTTTGCTCTACTAAAGATTAAATTTCTCCACATGAATTAAAAAGAGAATACTTTTCCCCACAAAATGACCAATTTAGTGAAATCAGCTCTGTGATAATTGGAAGAGGGGAAAAAACAAGGATTAAGAGAATAGGCCTTACAGAAAAATAACCATGAAGGACTACCATTTAAGGTTACCAGTCTGAAAACATCAACACCACATCCCTTTTTTACCTATTTCTCCTTGAAGAAACGAAAGTGCAAATTACCTGGGTTATTCCTGTCAGACTGATGCAGAAGTCTGAAAGCTTGGGATTAATCTCTGGCTTCACGTATTGCTGAAAGGTATCCTCCTGTAACAGGAGAATCGATCACTCAGCTGCAGCACACTATGCAGCCTGCAAGGCAACTTCTCTGGCTCACCTGCAGCCCAAAGGCAACAGCAGCTACTTGTCCTGCTGCAGGCAAAAAGGAGTGTGCACCTCCTGAGCCAGTATGAGCCTCCTGACTGGCCATCATCAGATTCCTAACGGGACAGAGAGCTTCCCAACCAGAAGATGGCCTTCCTCTCAGCCACTAGGCACCAAAGAGTGGGAATGTGGATTTAAGAGGGAAAAAGGACAGATTGCAAAAAAGCAAAGAATTTGGGAAGAGCGAGGGGCAGGTAAGAAGAAGTGAAAGGCATGAGAAAAGCCTTATGTTTTTTAGGTGGTATCTCTAAAGGTTCACCTGCAGCTCAAAGAAAGCAACCAGCCGCACACCTCAGAAGCTTTAGGCAAGTCCTACACCTCTGGATGCCAGCCAGGCAAACAAAATCTCACTCTGGAAAGCTGAGCAACACAAGAGTGAAGACTGAAGGCAATTTCATGGAAAAAAGAAAGCCCCAAATCCCTGCTGTTACACAAAACCTCTTGGACAGACAAAAAAGACACTCTAAGAGCAATAAAAACAATCCTGGTAATCTGCACAATCCTTTTTCTGCAGTTAAGTCATACATGCAGCTACACTTTATTGTAGCGTCACAATGATTACTGAAAATCCTCTTCACATTAAGAGGTTTTCGTACATGAACCATTAGTCAGAGGTGTCTGCACATCCTCTGTTTCAATGGGTCACTCAATTTCAGTTAAGCAGCAGGTAGTTTATCCTAAAAGAAAGCTGTACTGGAACAGAGCACTCGAGACTACCAAATGCCTGCTATATATGTCTAAAATTGGGTTACACAGCTGTCAGTCTGTTGGGTACAATGTGGAAACAGCTGAGCCTGACAAGAAGTGGAGCTCACTCAATCTCACTTTCTAGACTTCTGCATTAGTGTCTTCTACACTGCCTCACACACCACTACAGAAATTGATCATTTTTTGATTGTGATGAATCCCTTGAGTCCTAGAAATAGATTTGTGGGCCTTAAAGCAGGGAAAGAGAGGGCAGGTGGGAACACACATGGACAACTGAGAAACTCTTATCAATACAGGGAGTTGACTGCAGGAGAATGATCTACTTGGATGATCATTTGGAAAACGCTTTCAGAGAAGAAAGTTTTGTTTGTACTTAAGGGGCAGAGAGGGTAAGCCCTTATGAAAAAAAAGTATGCTATTTTTAATGAAGTTCAACATCTGCTTAAAAACTAATCTAGACTTTCTGATGCAAACAAGTTACTTCAAAGAACAGCATACCAACACAGCCATTAGATCACTTACTATTTCCAGGGTACGCGTGTTTACTAAGACAACAGGAAATTCAATTATTTCATGTACAAATTCAGGTGGGTTTCCTTCTTCACACGTTGCTTCAAAGTCAACAACACAGATGTAGTCATAGCAGCTGTCTCCACTAATGTGCTCCTTCTGCATCAGCTTCTGTTTCTTATAATAGTTTTTCAATCTCTTTTTCAGTACATCTTTCACTCCTCTAAAGAAATAGGAAAAGGGACAAAGATCACACTCTTGTTTAATTATTTAATTGTTAGAAACTGAAGCTATATTTAACATCTGGAAGTTCAATATTTAACAACCTCATTTTGAACACCAGCACCTGTGAAATCTGAATTCCATTTTATCATAGAGGAGCATTATCCCCATTATCTACCCTAAATTATATCCCATTTACTGGGATATCACAGAGGCTGTGATACCCCCCACAATACAATACCAGGGACAGACTGGGAAGCACGGCACAGAGACACTCTGCAGTCACTGCTACATCAGCAAGACTTGGTATCCAAAGCCTTTCCAAAGCTCCAGTCTTTGTAGGTTACTCCTGGTTGACCTCTGGCCCTGGAAGATGTACTGCTTCACCTTATTCCCCTGTGCCCTCTATATGAAGTGATTCATGCCTGAAGCCTTTCTGCATCAGTGGCATAGATAACACAGAATCCATCTTAAATGTCCACATTTTACATTTTTCTCAATTTAAATTTAAAATTGAGCTTGATTCACTCAAAGTATTTGAGATTTCAGCTGTCAGAAAAACCTCTTGGTCAAGATCCTGCTTTTCAGGAGGTTTGTGGCTACAAATAAATTCACATAGCAAGCAATTAAAGTAACTTACTCTATCCTTTTAATACAAACATTATAATGTATAAGTGCATACGCCAGTACTGCCATGTGCCAAAACCAGAGCTGAATAAATGAGGATATTTTCCCCTTCCAAGGAAGTTATTTTCAAAATTATTCACTGCAAATGAAATCAGAGAAGCTGTAAGAGATACGTGTAGCAAATTGTATTATCAGAAAAGCAGCCCACTGATCCACAAAGAAGAACTAAAATCAAACTAGTAAACATGCATTTGAGAATATCAGCTGCTTCTGCAGAGGTAACTCATCTTCACTCTGGTTTATCGATCTAGTTTAAGTCAATGACCAGTTCACTAAAAGCTGAGACAGTATGGGAGCTGATGAAGGGGGAAATTACCTCTTTTTTCACCAAACTTATAAAAAAATTTGAAAATAGGAAAGGACATTCTGTGATAATCTGCTCAATTCTCTACATTAGAACTGATGCACCATTTATTTACAGGTAAGACATATTCTGACTTGACTTACTTGAATATATTGACAAAAAAAGCCCAGCTTGGGTAAAAGAGAAATTTTAAGCTTTCAGCATTTACAACTAAAATAAAAAACTCATATAGAAAACTTACAGCTTAAGAGAATGCCACATATCATAACATCATAAACTGTTTGAATTCTGCTTTCAATTTCTAAATCAGAGCAACTGCTAAACAGCTATAGAAATCTAATGTTTTACCAAAAATTTTCTCAAGTAATGATGTTTTCCTCATGAGGCACTAAATTAATTTAACCAACAAACTCCCCACCACTACTTCCTCATTCCTGCTGCCTACAGAAACACAGTTTATTTTTCTCAGCTGACCTTCTTCACAATAGCTCAAGTTTGCCTGGTCACAGAATTATTAGTCTTGCAGGTCATTTCCAGTACAGCAGGAACTACACTATACCCCCTTGCCTCTGCCCCAGTGAGCACAAATCCAGTTTATAATAGATAAATTTTTCACATTTTCCTAACACGTGTATTCAAAGTAGTAAACTCTTCATCTAAAGGTAATTATCCTCTGCATTGATTAAATCCTGAACCCCATCACCAGAGTCTGTAGCAAGTATCAAATCTGTACTAGTACAGTAAATAAAAATATGGATATTCCTAAGCAAGTTGCTATAGGATGAAAGTCTGCAGCACCACCTGAGAACCACTGCAGTTCTTCTTTCCCCCTTGACCAAAAAGTGATAAGAAGTACCTTACATTTATGTATTCTTTCATTTCTTTGGGTTGCCAGTTGAGCCAGCACACATTAAGCAGTATGCATTAATCCTGAAACAAAAGCTGCAACAAGATTGCACATAAAACAATTGGTGTCTGGTGCTGTGTCTGCTTTTCACTTTGTGCTGAGTTTTTAAAACTGAAAATAATCATCCCTCCTGACTACTGCTCTCAAAGATAAATCAACATGTTTCCAAATAACCTGGTTTCAAGCTTGAACTCTGCGAGTTTACTTCTGAGCTCTTCTCTGGTCATTCTGTTGATATAACCATTAGTTATAGCAATTTCTTTGTAAATCGGATCACTGAAGTCATTTGAACTGGCAGCAGAAGTTTTGTCATTAGTTTCTTGATCACTGATCCTACAATGTTGCCTACCCTAGAAGAAAGAGAAATCAGGAAGTCGGTTAAGAAGGTCAAAACAAGATGCTTGAGCACTGCACAGATCGTTTTGGCACCAGAACGCAGTAAAGCATCACACTGTTACACTTGTGATAAAACTGAGTGAACTAGTTTATAGACAGGTAAGAGAATCAATACTGAAGCCTGCTCTGAAACACTGTTTTCCTAAACAGCAACAAACAGAATAAAGGGATGCTAATGTACGTGTCTTGAGCCATGTCGAACAGCAGCTCTCGGTGACAAAACTTGGATACGCATCCTAATCTCAACAGAAAGAGTTCTCTGGTGCAAACGGGCAGAGCCTTCACGAGCAGCGAGATTACTCTCGATGCTTGAATTAACCAGAACCCACACGGACTGGGACAGGCGGGCCGGTGCCCAGTAAGTGCAAGATAAACAAAGCAATAAACCAGCAGGGAGAACTACGGGCACTTCGGCTCCCCACTGCTACTTGCGGCCTTCATGGGGCGCGCACACGGCGCGGCCTCGGGCGGGCCTGCGGCACCGGCGGCGCCACTCGTGAGGGCGAGNCGCCTCACCCCCGGCTGTCCCGGCAGCCCTCGGCCCTGCCCCTCTGCAGCGGCACCGCCGCCTCCTGCGCCTGCCTCAGCCCTCCCGGGCTTCTGCCCTGCAGGCCCCCCGCGCTTTGGGTCACGGCAGCTCTCCGGAAACTCTCCGTGTTACGGGAAACACACACTGGGCAGGCACCTCATTGATGCCTCCGTCCTCCTTCTTATGGCACTGACTTTGTTCAGAGCACCCGAAACACGGATCTGGGACACCCGGGCCTTGTTGGGTGCCCGGTCACAGCCACGAGCCCCTTCCTGCCAGGGAATCTGCCGTGCCTGCTTTTCCCCATACTCCTCAATCCACAGCCAACAAACAGGGTGAGGTGGGTGGCACGAGACATGTAAAGCTCTCTGGATCTTCTTAGCCAGGAGGTGAAGGCAAAGTGATGAAGCCTCTGTCCATCACGTGTCAGTTTATTTTCCACTGGTGCTTCCCACAGTCCTGAAATGCAGTCCAGTATCCCTCAGTGATGGACCTGGATATGTACTGGCAAATAATGCAACCATACCAATACTTCCACATCTGCCAGACACTAAACAGCCCAGAATCTTCTCTCTGCTCTGTTGTGCCTCAGCCCCTGCACCCACCCCCAGTCGGGCCTCCCGTCTCACTCTGGCACACCAGCACCTCCTTGCAGATGCTGACATCCCTAGACCTGCTGTGCAGCATTTGCCATCTTCAGTGGGTCTGCCACAGAGGTCCATCTCGTCTTCTCCACACTGAGTGATGACACAAGTGAGATCATGCACAAGTGCTTGGGGCTATGTGCACGTCCTGGTTTTGGCTGGGATAGTTTGCTTTCTTAGGGGCTGCTGCAGAGCTGTGTTTTTTTTAATTTAATATGAGGATATTGTGGATAATACACTGATGATTCAGTTTTTGCTCAGAAGTGGTCACTCTAAGTCAAGTCCTTTCTCATACTTGGCCAGTGAGAAAGTGCACATGCTGGAAGGAAGCAGTCAGGAAAGCTGACCTGAACTGGGCAAAGGATATTCCATACCATGGAATATTGTCCCCAGTATACAAATAGAGGGAGGAGGAGGAGGAGTTGGCTGGGATTTGCTGATGCTCATCCCCCATCACTGGGGGAGGGGCTAGGCATCAGTGAATGGTCAGCAACTGTATTGTGCGTCACTCATCTTTTTTGGGTTTTATTCCTCTCTCTTTCATTGCAATTACTATCATTAGTATTATTATATTTACTTTACTTCCATTATTAAACTGCTTTTAACCCATGGGTTTTACTTTTTTTCCTATTTTCCTTCCCACCTGGAGGTGGTGGTGAGTGAGCAGCTGTGATGATGCTTAGTTTCCAGAGGAGGTTAAACTGCAGCAGTGGGAAGGGATTTGCTCCCATTTTTAATTCATCCTCCTGGTGCTGCCACAAATGCCCCTGCTGCCAAGCTGAGGACTACCTACCTTACAACTCTGCCTCCAAAACCTGCTCTGAACATGAGCAGGGAACCAAGCTTTCCATGAATGCAAACATTACCAATGAGAACCACTGAGCTGGCCTCCCAAACCCATAAAATACCTTAAAAGGCAGTGGTGAAAAAAGCTGTTTCCCAGAAATCACCTGCCTTGCTAGAATGGGCAGTGGTTCACAGGTACTAAATAAGGGTCCCCATGCTCATATTCACTCAGTGGCAAATCTCTTTGTGACTTTGCTACAGCACAGATCTACAACTAGGTGCAGACCCTTCCAGAGCTAGAGGCCAAGGAGGCACTGCAAGAGGAAAAACAAATCACACAGCCAGGACTCTCCTGGAGATTGAGATCACTTTTATTTTCAGTTATTTTGGCGAGGATGTGTGGGCGAGTGTGGGTGTGGTGCATGTATGTCTGGGCATGCATGTGTGTGTGCGCAGAGTCCTGCCCAGTGATGTAGATTATATGAATACCTGCAATTACAGTCCATGAACTGAGCCATGAAGCGTGTGATGAGTGCTACACTGAGGCCCACTTGCTCGCCTCTTCTTGTGCTTACTGCAGTGCAGCATCTCCACTTCCCGGCACTGCTGTTCCAAGGATGCCAGCCCAAGATCCCATCCAAAGGGCACGAGAGGAACTGAGCTCCGGGATCTGGCTCTGCATGAGTGAGCCAGTGGATTTTCATCTCACTTAGTGAGTTCCTAAGTAACATTTGCAGTTCCCTTTGACACAACCGTTATCTAACTCCTCACAGTGAGGAGCCTCAACTGCTTTGACAAATTTTAACTGCCTCAGGGGTACAATGGGGAAGAGAACAGGGACCCCACATAAGCTCCAGTGCTACAGCACAGCCAAGCACATCTTGAGTTCCTGGGAAAGCAGCACCTAAATACATACTGAGTTTTTACAGCCACCATGAAACTGTGGCACGGGGGATGCTGCAAGGGAGATGACCCATGCTTCTGCAGCCCCCAGTCTCTTCCATCTGATCTGAAAGACCATAAGGCAGGGTAAATCCCAAACTAGGCTCTATTTCAGTTTAACCTTTTAAAGCTGAATTCCCCAAGCTCAGAGCAGAGACAATGCAGAAAAAACAGCACTGCCATGAAAGGAGACTAGTCAAAGGCACCCTGGCCTTGTGGCAGACTGGAAACAATTTTCTCTGATGTTTTTGCTTATAGCACAGTTAAAACAGAGGTGTCCCATCACCCAGGACCCTCTGCAGCTGCCAGAAGTCTCCAAGTACTCCTGTAAGCCCTAAAATTACCTAGATGTGCAGTATCACCCTTTGGGCTTACTCCCACTCACCTCTACATATTTGTATGCTGCTTAGGGACATGCAATTCCTTACATTACACAGACCCAGAAGAAGGCAAAGCTGCTATCCTGGGAGTTTCACTTGGACGGATGCAGGTTTGAATCCCAGGTTTTGCTTCAGAGCATTACACAAGGTACTCCAGGACATCTTCCATCTGCTGAAAGTCCTGGAGTTCAAAGCTCACTAGGCTCTGCTTCCAAATCTGTCTGAACCAGTTTCAGCAAGAAATCAAAAACCGGTCAAGCAAGGGGTCTGCAAACCAATAAGCAAAACCAGTACAATCATCTTGAGTGAAGTAGGCATCTAGGAGATAGAGTAACCAGGAGATTCTCCTCCTATTCCAAAGGAGTTAAATTCCTTGTCAGCTCCACAGGGAGACAGCTGATGCCCCAGTCCTTTCTCACCTCTTTATAATACATCTTCAGTAAAGGCTGCAGAGTGCTCCACAGAGGCCTTAGTGATTTCTAACAGTTTGGTAACTGTCCAAGCAGGGACAAGAACAGGAACATAATACACACTCTGAACTCAGGTATCTGCTGTTAGGGCACTGCATTCAAGCCCTCTTTCCTTGTGGCTTGATTCATGAAAAATGACAGATCCTTCAGAAATACAGGGCCATCATCCCTGGGGCTCAGGGATATTAAGTGGGGTCTGAGGCAGGAGCTCAGCAAAGGGACACTGTATGAGGATCCCAGGGTGCATCCTTAAAAGACAGTGACAGCAAAATCAAAAGTACTATGAGCCGCTTGGTTTGGTTCTCCTGCATTAATCTCCCACCTGGCAACTGCAAAGGGGAGATGTTTCTGAACTGCATAGAAAATTAAATGGCTTTTGCATATTAAAAGAATTTGGATGAAAACACAGTTACACCAGTTACTAAACAGTGGGTGGATGAGCAATCACCGTTTCATATTAAATAGACCCAACTAGATTGATCTCCATACTGCCACGCTCCCAGCATTACGGCTTCAGTGCACAGCAGCAGCCTGAGTGCCTGCAAAGGCCAGGGAATGCTCCCATGGAGGTGGCACACCCCAGCAGGAGGGCTGCAGTCCCAAGGAGCAGGCTGTATGATGTCTGCTCTGTCCTCTCACTCCTTCAAAGCTCACGCATCCCAGACCAGATGGGCACACTGGGAAACAGGCCTCCGGCTGGAAAAGGATTCCAGTTTGTGGTTTCTTTACAATGTGGTTTCCACGCAACTTCACAGCAACAAATCGCTAGTTTCTTCCTATGGAGAACGGAAAGAGAGGTGAGTAGCAGCGAAACAGGAGGAGAAGACTGCCCAGCACAGGAGGTGACAGTAGGGAATGCTCTAACACAAGTTCTGCCTGCACCAGGCATGTTTCATGAGCAGCAGGACTCAGGACAAGGGAGTTTCCTAGCATTATTCCTGAGCACCATTCAAAGATCTCATCTCCCTTTCACCTCCTCCAGCCACCACAATTTTGAGTCTCCAGTTTATCCACAGCAACACAGAATCAGAATCAATTAATGATTCCCACTGACCTAAGAAGGTTCATTGCCAGAGGCAGCAGGTCAACACATGAAATCTGAGCCCAAGCTACCCTCCCCAAGCTGGAACAGTACCCCGAAGAGACAGGAAGCTGACTGAGCTGCCAGCTTTTATTTGGCAGCTTTTCCCCTTGAAGTAAGGTACATGGCTTGATTTCTTCTACCTGGCCTCTGGATCTCCTGCTGGAGAGGATTCTGCCCTGCCTTCCCAGCACTAAGTTCTTGCCAAAGGGAAGATTTACTGCCTTGCATATGAGACTGGCATTTGAAGGATCAGAAACCAAGGGAATATCATCTGTGCAACAGCAGCAGGTCCCAGCAGGACACATCACTGTCTTGCAATGGTTGCAGGCCTGGCCAGCTCACATCCTGGTGGCCACTGCCTGCTGACTTGTACCACCAGTCGCAGGTCTGCCATCACAGCCCAAAGAATTAAGAGCTGTACATTAACACAAGCATTTTAAGTCACTCATCTTGAAGCCCTCCCCCAGCATCTGATGAAAGGAACCTGGCTCTGGAAATGCCTGCCTCCTATTGATTTACACTTAATAAATATTTGCATGGAGCAGGACTCACACAGTGCAGTTACCAGGGCTCAGCTGC